TGTTGTTCATCACTAAACAATTGTCGATTTCTTCATCTATTGTAGAAACACATTCCCCATCCATATTTGGATAAAAATCCTCTTCACATTCAACACAAATTTCGTTGATCATTTTAGTGCAACCTTCGACAAGAAAACTGCACTTCCCGTTTTCGTCTGTTACTTCTTCTTCATCATCACAAATTGTCGTCTCACAAATTTCATCTTCAGAAAGACTGTAATTTGTGTCACATTGTAATTTATGTATTTTGTTGCATTTAATGGAATTCTCATTTTTGGAGGAACATCTGTAACACAATGAATTGTCAATGTAATACCCATCTACACACGATATGACGTGATTTCCTTGGGAAATCGAGATATTGTCTTTTTCACAATTATTGTCTTCATTTAATAAATAATTTTGCTCACAAAGTATACACTTCCCATTTTCACACAATTCACAATTTGTGTCACAAGACTTGCATTGTGTCGAATAATCGCCCGTATGACATTTCAAACACAAATTGCCATCATTGTAGTCACATTCCGTATTGTATAAACATTCTCCATTTGATAGTAATGTATTGGAATTACATTTATAACAAATTTTTGTTGTTCCTATTAAACAATTATTTGTTAATTGTATACACTCTAACTTTTCATTGAGAAGATATCCGTTATTACACAATGAGCACTGATTGTTCGCATTGTATATTTGACAATTTGTATCCAAGTCAACACATTTGTCATTCAACAACCGAGTTTTGGAATTGCACTTTAAACATTTAGTTTCAGTAAGAGTTAATGTTATAATCATACAATTATTAAATATTGGTGTTCCAAAGACAGTGTTTTCACTTTCCAAAGTTATAATTATCATATGAAGTTTCTCATCATATATAAAACCACTTAAAATGTCTTCTATTTTTTTAACTTCTTTTGTGACGTACACAAATTTGTCACCAGTTAAATTAAATGGGTTGATTATACCCGAGCAATTGATTATAATATTATTATTTTTTTCATTAACTGTTATATAACTTGTAATATCATTTGTGCAAAATAATTGGTGAGTTGCTGAGTTGTACTGAAAGGTACTTTGTGTGTGAGTAATTTGGTTTACAACGACATCACCAACAGAAAAGGAAAGTTTTGACGATGCAAAATCGCCATTTAAATCGAGTACAACATCATCACTCATCATCACTGTTTTTATTACTTTTGCATTTGTTATTTTTGTATTTTTGTTGATGTGTAAAGTTGTATACGCAAGTTGCTTACTGTCAAAATTGTATTCAGATAACTTCTCAGACAAATACAAGTGACAATCAGTTGACGAGACATCACATGGACAATGGGGATAATCAAATCCATATGGAGAACCGTTTGTATAATTGTTTGTATACAATAATTGGTTTAATTTACAATTCACTATATTATTAATAGTCATAGGACAAAATCTGATGAGCTTTTTATTGGATAATAAATGTGCAGTCCCATCTTTAAAATTAAATGGAAAATCATTTGATGAAATATGATTTTGAGTTGAACCGATATTAATGGAATTGTTATTTGCCATTGAAATGACATCAAAGCAATCAATGTTGTCGATTGGATTTTTTATCCCAAAGTCTAATCTATCAGTATAATTGCGGTGTAAATGAAGATACGTTGAATCCCACAAGTCAATAGGTGGGGCGTCTAATTTTGGATTTAAAATTAAGAGTGTTCCAGCAATAGAAAAATAATTGTTAATAATTGTAGACGAGTTGTTGTATAAAGATATAGAATTGCCGATATGAAAGGGTAACATAAATGATATAAGACTGTTCTCTGAAATAACCAAATTACTTGTTGTTGTAAATTTGGAGTTATCACTAGTATATATAGAAAATGTCCCACTCATTATAATTTCATAATAAACGTTTGTCCCACTGAATGTAAATGTGTTATTAAAACAAAACACGTTTGTATTATAAGCACAACTGTAATTTGTTAATGAATAAAAACCAGCGTCTTCATTATCGCCCATAGGAACACATTCGCAAGCATCTTCCGCTTGACTCTTAACACCAACGAGCAGAAGACAAAAAATAACAAAAAGTAATGTGAGTCTTTTCATTGTTTTTTAATGGAATTTTGCGTTCTTTGTAATTCAACGAAATAAGTTCAGTTCGAAATAAGTTGTATGTGGTTTTTTGGTCAATGTAACTTTAAAAAATTGAGAATTTGTTCGAAATTGAAATATCTATGTTTTGATTTTTTTTTCATTTTTTAAAAAAAGTCAATTAAATTCCCGATAATTTTAACAATAGTTTGTATTTTTCTAATCAAATAAACTTTATTGGCAAGTACAAAAACAATTTACAATAAACTTAATTATCATTAAACAATATATTTAGTATTAAATAATATTATTTAATTATTTTATATTAATGTTAATTAACTTTAAATTTCATGTTTTTCTTGTTACTGATTATTTGTGTTTCGCAATTATTTAACTGATTTTTAACTGATTTTTTTCCTGAAAAAAGACGTAATTATTATTGAAAATAACGAGAAAAGGGTTTTATCAAATTGCTTTTTTCTTTTTATATTAGACAACAATTAGGAAAAAAAAAATGGGAGCCGTATAAGATAGATTTACCGAAATCGCACTTTTGAAACTAATTACATCAACATTGTCTATAATATGATTAACTGAAAACGTGTATACAACATTATTAAAAATGAAAGAACTATAATTTGAACCAAAAAATAGTTTAACAAAAAATAATAATTAAAAAACAAAAATGTTTATATTATCCAATACAAATAATTGGTATTTTTATGATTAAACAAATCTTCTTAAGTTTTATTATAGGGGCAGTCTTTTAATGTTATCTGGGGGACAAATAAATAGCAATATAAATATATAAACATCATACTAAGTAAACCACAAAAAATAAACAATTGGGATGTATTTTTTTGTACAACTTCTCGAAATGTTTTAATAATCTAAAAGGTACATGATAAACTTTAAATATAGACTGTAGATTTAATCACAACTTGTATATCTTACACCATAACCTCAAGTTTAATTAATTCATAAAAAACATAAAAAGGTTGTTCAGACAAACAATTTACAATCAATATATACAATCACCATCACATTATAATTTATACAATTAATTGCATATTACATTTTAACCTTTAAACCAAATTCAATTTACTGCTTGTACAAAATAATTGAACAGAACATTAATTATATTGTTTGATACATTAATGGTTTTTAATAAATTATATTAAATAAACCCCATAATAGTCACATTTGATAATTATTCATTTTAAGAATTAAATATAATCACATTGCTTAATTGAAGTGTTCTTATGGTGGGTTTGGTTTAAATTGTTTTCAAAATGGTAGTAAATTTAATAATATGTTAATTTAATATAAATATTATTTGAAATGTAATAATTTGTAATAGAAAATATTTTAATGATAATTAATTGAATTATATCATATAAATACAGATTGTAAAAGTAATATAATAAAATGTTTTTAATAAATAACTCTATAAAATTTATTATAATATATCATTTCTTATCTATAGTTTTTTTTGTTAATAATTAACTAATGTTTTTTATAATGTTAGTATAATATTAGTTTTTATGTAATTTCCCAAAACAATTTTTGTAAAAAAAAACACAAATAAAACGATAATAAATAATTAATTTTAATTATGATAATAGATCAGTTTCTTTCTTATCAAGTATTTTTAATAAAAGATGATTTTGTATTCTTATTTACTATAATAATATTAACATGTTATTAGAATGTAATTTATAAGAAGTTCAATTCTCGTTGTTTTCTTTTTATTTTTGTCGTTATTAATAATTTTAATATCAAAAATCAATCTGTAAACCGAAAATCGGTTTCTAATTCATTCTTTTTGACCATTGAAAATTCAATTTTTTTCATTACTTTTCCAAAAATTTTTCTTTTAAAAAATATGTTTATTTTCTTTTTTGACCATTTTTTGGAAAAAAAACGTATTGCCACATAGGCTCGTGCAGGTATTTCGCTTCGTGCAAGTATTTCGCAGGTTTTTAATACGTATTTTTCCGTTCTTGTGATATCGCTATTTAGTTTAAAGTTGAATTATTATTAAAACATTAAAAATCGAATGCAAAAATAATATTGAACACCTTTGTTTACATGCAAAATATTGTTTTTTTTGTTCAAATTATCTTTTTTAACAAACAATTGTTGTTAATTATAATTTTGCGTTGATTTTTGATTATTTATATCGTAATGTTTTCACAAAAAAACTATTTAAAAACATTAAATATTTTTGGTTTTTTCAACTTTTTGTGAAATAATTTTGTTTAGATTTTTTTTTACAAAATGACTTTCATTTTGAGTAAAGAATGTGCTTAATTTTATGTTCATTCCCGAAAAAGTAAAATAAAATATTTTAGTAAAATAAGTTATTCTTGTTGTTTTTTCTATATTTTTTTTATTTTAACAACACTAAATATACACAAAAATATGGTAAACATTGATTTAAAAATATGAAGT